AGAACAATAAACCAAGTACTTCCCATACATATGACTGTGCAGAAGTCCTGCGTTATTAAAAAAGAAAACAACCAAACCAAACAAAACAGCAACAAAAAAACACTTCACTGAAATCAAGGGGAAGAGTTTTCAAATACAGTGCAAAGTGTTAGAAAAATAATGCACTCATCCTGTGCAAATGGCATAGCTATCAGAACAGGTGTCTGTGAAGGCTATTTAAAGTACTAACTAAATAAATAAGAAATGAAAAAGCCTTAAAATGAGTACAGATAATGGAAACAGTACAAATAGTAAAAAGGAAGAGAGGGGACATAGATCTATTTTTCATGGCTCTCTAGTAACAGGGAGAATTAAACAAATATTTCTGTGGTAGTCCCAGCTTTGGTTCTTAAAGGCTGAATCAATGGCACAGTTGTGGTTGATGTGATCCTGTTACAAAAGCAAAAAAGACTTACAGAAACAGGCCAGACAGGATATGGTTGACTAACATTATTTGACTTCTGCTTTATGGTCTTACCAACGAAAACGACACAGCTTAGTAAGAGCATGAAAAAGGGTTACAATTATATGAGAGACGAAGAATTGCATTATGGAGCTGAAGCAATAAATGCTTCCATTCAATTTTAGCTCGAGCATAATATCAACTTAAACACAGCACTTAAGTTTTAGTACCACATCAAGGGAAAAAAAAATAACAAATTAACTGGTTTTGATTTGGTCTTCATCCCTTAGTTGTCAATGAAATATTCTATCATACAGAACATTGTACTGACATTGTACTGGATGTTGTAGTGAAAAAATAAAAACTTAAAAAAGATGCTAAAGTCCAAAAGTTGCTTTAAAAAAAATGTGGCTTCTTAAAACCATTTAATTCCATTTTTCTCATTAAGCATTTCAAATATCCACAAATAAGTATAAAATCCTGTAGTTTTATTTTCCCAAACACTCATTCCCATTATGTGGAAGGTTTTAAATAAATATTTAGGATTTAAAATGACCTTGTGATTGATTGGGGGGGGAGGGGTCGGGCAGTTAACAAAGAAAGAACATAATTTGTCCAAATGACATTTTCAAACAAAGGGTCAGCTGATGCCTAGATTTACAAAAGAGTTCAATGTTCAAACATAAATGGAAAAATGAACAGATACTGTTTTGAGCATCACAATGGAAGGAGATTAACACTTAGGCCATTTGAAAAACTTGTTCCATTTGTAGATACTAAATATTAAAACTTCACCGTGACTTCTTTCTACAGGTTAATGTCCATTTCGTGCCCTTGGGTTTCACAGCCTTTCCCTTGATAATAATATTCAAGTTTTGAAGGACCTGAACTCCCTTGCCTCTCCAAAGTAGCTGTCAGTTTCTTTACATTTACTTCCTTTCTTTGGAAATCCAAGACAGGATACTGATTCTTCACCTCTTATCCCAATTTGCTATCACATGGTTGGTGCTGAAGCTTATCTCTTTAAGTACTTACAGAGATTTCAGCTAACTCCTTCTATTTGACCTTAGCATCCTGAGCAGATTTATAATGCAAATCATGTCTCAGAAAGTATATAGATGTACAGAATGTTTTGTCAGCCGACAGTTTTTTGTACGGTTGATAAGACTGCATAATTTTGCCTATTGATGTAAAGCTTAGTTTGAGAGATTAGAGAGCACTACCAGATGTTTAGTAAATCAGCCTGTCCTATAAACCTTTTTGTTTCTCTAAGAAAAATTTTCAAAGTCACAAAGGGAAAGTAAGGAATCCCAGTTCCAACTGAAAATCAAGTATCACCCCCTTTATCAAGAAAGCTGACATATTTCCTCTACAAATGAGAACAATTATTTTTTTTTCCTGTGGAGGGATTATTAAAAAAAACCAACACACTGAAGAGCATTTGATAGCATGGTTACACCTAAAGATACAGAGTGTAACAAGACAGTTTTGTAGGAGCAAGTAGTATTTTCTAACTCATCTGATATGTTTGGTACAAAAAAACAGAGAAGGCTTTGGGAGTACAAGTTTTTGTTCAGACCTTGAACAGAAGAAGCAAAATATGTTTGGAAGTGGGTCTCTTTGGCTAACTGAACTAAAGGTCAGTCCAACTTTAGAATCCAAGTATAAATCAGAAAGAACTAGGAACAAGAAGCTGTAAGAAATACTAACCTCAACCTCTATTTATTTAATCTTGTGACTTTACAAGCTTTTTAAGAGCCATCCTTATCAGATTGCTTGTCTATTTAGGAGGACTAGAGGGGGCATCATATTTCTATTTAACTTTGTTCCGTATGTTACATTTTGGGGCTTTTTTTAGGTGATTATTGCTTCTGCATTTCAGTCTCATTAAGGTTTGTTACCTGACAAAGCTTAATTTCAAAGTTTCAACATTGCAGTCACAACGTGTTTACTAGTTCTCAACTGAAAAAAACCTGCAGAGTAAATTGCTTACAAAATAGATTCCATCATAATCTAGGGAGAAATTTTCTTTCCTATCAGGGTTAAGCATATTCACTTCCAGCCCTTCCTAATCCAGTCCATGAAGCTACACAAACGGACAGAAGAGCCAGTGCTGCTTGCACCAAAAGGTAACTGGAATCAGAGTATCCCTTACCACTTCCCAAAGCCCCAGGCTGTTCTGTTTCAACTTGTGGACCATTACAACATGAAGTATTTTATTTTCAACATTATATAGTGAAAATGAAGTTCTCTTGGGTATATGTACTCAACAGTTTTGCATTATAAATACTATAATCCTGGCAGTAGTAAGCAGAACATTGTGTACCAGACTGTGACTCTCCTAAGGCCTAGGGAGACTGCATTTCTGGGTCCAGATGGGGCACGGGAGGGAGGCACAAAACAGCTGCACTGACTGGGAATGCCCATAGGCAAAACATCAGGTTCCTCTCTTTAGAAGTCAGCAGGATGATGATGGAGTTCAGGCAGCTCCAGAACTAAGTACTAGCCATGGATTCCAGTTAGGCTGTCATTCCCAGCATTGCTGTGCCCTGCAAGTTCTGCTGTAGGTATCTACCTCTTTTACTGGATCTTCTACAGTGTCACAATGGGAAAAAGCACCCATCCCATGCAAGCCAATAATGTCATCACAAAGCATAAAACCAACACATTACTCTGGATTAAAAGTGAATTAACTGGCTGTGATTGAATTCATATTCTGGCTCAACCTGAAATGAATACAGCTAATCCTGCCATTAGGGTTATGCTGCTGTTGTCAATATTATGTAAGCACAGCTTTTTTTGCAGCATGGCACAAGAAAAGCAAGAGTGGCAGCAAAGAAAACAGTGGGACAGTCTTTAAAGAAGCTGTGGTCCAAAACCCAGGCTCCCAGAAGAGGGATGCTGTGTTCTCTTGCCTGGTGCCCCAATCTCACAGCGTCCCACAATCTCCAAAGGAGGACCCGGGGGGCTGCAGGATGTAAGGAGGCGCTTGGGAAGTAAAAACGTGTCAACTCCCTTCTATCCTCTGTTGGGCAGGTTTACCTACAGAAAGAGGCATTAAAGCAGCCCAGACTTCATTTTTATTGTCGGCTCTCAGATTTTCTTTCCTAAAGAAGGAAATGTAAGTCACAGAGCTGTCAGCAAAGGAGATCTGCAGACCCTGTCCCTCAGACACCCACAGCAGGCACGCAGGGGGGGTGGGATGAGGCAAACCCACAGTTTGATGAGACAAACCTCCGTGCCGGGAAGGAGGGAGCTACCCAGCCTGACTCCTGCACCTGCTACCTCCCGAAGTCCAAAATGTGGGAACACCGCTCAAAAGTTGCCTCGGACCCAACACTTCCCAACACTCTCGAGGTTTCTCTGCTTTCACGACGAAAGCCGAACACCCCTTAAAAGAGTTTTCCTCCTGCTTCCCTCCCAGGCCAGCGCACGCCCGGCGGGAGCTCGCACAAAAATCTGCGCCTGAGAACCAGCTTTTCTCCGGCCGAGCGTTTACACCGAATCCGTGCCGAATCCGAGCACACCGAATCCGTGCCGAATCCGAGCACACCGAACC